GCCAGATTGAACTGGATTTGGTGGATCTTCTACCACGAGTGTACGAGCACGGCTGCTGAATCTAACCTCCACGGAGTTGCATCTTACAAGGAGGGAAGAGGAGGAGGCGGAGGGGGAGGAGGAGGAGGAGGAGGAGGAGGAGGAGGAGGAGGAGGAGGAGGAGGAGGAGGAGGAGGAGGAGGAGGAGAGAAAGAGGAAGAGGATGAGGAGGGGGAGGGAGGAGGAGGAGGAGGAGGAGGAGGAGGAGGAGGAGGAGGAGGAGGGGGATGGGGAGGGAGGAGGAGGAGGAGAAGGACGAGGAGGAAGAGGAGGTTCAGATTGAAAGAGAAGGGGGGCGCAGTGTCCCGGAGTGGAGCCCTAAGAGCCCGCAGGAGGGCCCTCCTCGGAGCCCAGCCAAGACGCCCCGGTGCCAGCCTGCAATGGCTTCGAGCATGCGTGACTTGCTTGAACTTGGACATGCCCGCATGGCTCGGGTGCTGGCCGAGGCAGATTCGAGAAATAGTGTCGTGACCCTTCTCAGCAAGTTTGCGAGTGCAGGGTAGGGCCTCTCACGGAGGCCGCCAAGCCGCAAATCCGCCGCCCCTCGCTTGCCGCGGGTGCGAGGGCGTGTGAGATGATTGGCTGGCCCCCTACCCTTAGTGGGCCCTGGAAACGACAGGGTCGTTTTTTTACCGGTTCCGTTTGCCGTTTTTTTGCCGGTTCCGACGCCGCTTTTTGACCGGTTCCGGCTCTGGTTCCAATCCTGGAGCCGTTTTTTTGCCGTTTCCGGTCGCCGTATTTTTGCCGTTTCCATTTTCAAGGGACATTTTTCTAAACGGTACAAAAACGGCCCTGCCGTTTCCAGGGCCCACAAAGCCCCTACCCCTTTCCCACTCCCTCAGGACTCAAAATCTTGTTCAGGGGGGGGGTATCCAGGCTCCTTGGGGTGGGTGGCCGGGCTCCCTGGCGCACCCCTGGAGACGCCGGAGCTTCCAAGTCGGCCCCCTGTGGCCTCGAAGACGTTCTAAGGCGGCCTCGGATCGCCGAGCGATTGCCCCGGCCTCCATGAGCTGCTCTTCCAGCTCTGCTACGGCCTCGACGGACTTGTCCAAGCGGCGCTGGCCATGCTGGTGGCGGTCGGTGGCCGACTGCAGCCGCTGCTCGGAAAAACGTCGCGGCAAAGGCAGCGCGGGCGCCTTGTCGTCACGCACAGCCTGCGGGGCCTGCCGAAGGCCCGTCGCAACAGACTCGTCAGGGACCGCGAGGAGCCGCAGCAGCTCATCGGCGGGGTCCGCGGTCCACGGGGCCCACGGGAAGGCAGAACCCTTGTCTCCGCCTCGCTTGGGCAGCGTGTAGGTGCCACCCTGCTAATTGCCTCCTCCGTTGCCTCCAAGCCCGCCTCCCTCGTCGTTCTTGAGCGCACCGCCGCCTTGGCCAGCACCTGCGCAGACTCCCAGCGGAGTGGAGGCCGCAAGGATCTCCGAGGCGTGGCCATACTTCTAGCAATGCGGATGGCGGCCGGAGTTCCAGCCGCAGCGGCAGGAGGAGCACACCCCGCAGCCTGGCTGAGCCTTGGGCGCCATGCCACAGGAACTTCGCACGAGCGTGAAGTGGTAGGCTCAGCCGCGGGCGCGGAAGGCAGGCGATGGCTGGGGCGGACAAGCCTGCGCGAAGAAATATGATTTGTCAACCGCAGATCAGCGGTGTCCGTGTGGTCCGCACGGGAACTTTGCATATTGAGCCAAAAGGGTTACGGAGTGGGGAGGCGGAGGGGGAGGAGGAGGAGGAGGAGGAGGAGGAGGAGGAGAAGGAGGAGGAGGAGGAGGACGAGGAGGAGGAGGAGGAGGAGGTGGAGAAGAAGAAGGAGGACGAGGAGGAGGAAGAGGAGGAGGAGGAGGAGAAGGAGGAGGAGGAGGAGAAGGGCAGGAGGAGGAGGAGGAAGAGTGCAGGGGAAGAGGCAAACGATCGAGATTACAAGGCGTTTAGGCGAGATGGGGCTGTGCCACAATATCGGTAAACAAACGACGATTCCATACTGCTGTGGTGAAGGAGAGCATCATTTGGAAAAGATGAGATTCGCCGATGTGGTCAGTGAGGGTAATGCAGCAGCAGCGGCACGAGATGTAGGAGCCAGGATGACAACACGTTGTTCGATCCATGTCGAGACGAGATATCGCATTCGTTCATGAAAAGCGGCGTGGACGGCAATGGGGAATTCCTGGGCACCCACTGTGGAAGATAACTATGTATAAAGGTTGCGTGATTAACGCCACCTTGTCTGGAATCGAGACGTTTGTGAAACCTCAGAGCCCCATAAAGGTACAAGACGTGGGAGGGTGATCTTGGGCGGACTAGCGACATCTCGGCAAGACGGATCCCGAAGGGCCCACGCAATCTCGAAATAATGGTCAAGGTAGGCATCGCTAGTATATTCGTGGAGGCCGACATTCGTCGTTCCAAGTGGTTGCAGAGCGTTTTGTTCGACTTTATTTCGGCTGATCAGCTACTCGGAGTCGTAGTCGGTAAGATAAGTAGTGGGAGCAGCGAGTCATTCCAGGACACCGAGCAGGCTTTGAATCCGTGGGCAAAGCAGTGGTTGCAGGATGTGCGGGGACTGACGGTTTACGGAGACGGATCTGTTTTCCTGTCAGATTATGATCATGATCCAGGGCGGGCGACTCTGAAAGGGAGGGAGGAGTTTGATCAAGCTAGACTTGACGGGCATGCGTGCGAATTTTATTCACCATAGGGTTGAGTACGAGCCTGAGCGAGCTGAGCAGCAGGGCGGGGTGAGCTTCAGTGCTGGGCTCACGGAGAGGACTGCACGTCATGTCAGGTACCGTTTCCAGATAAAGCAAGTTTGGCATCACACTATGTCAACACGAATGGCGTGCTTCAGCAACTTGTCACCATATGTGGAACAGTTATTTGAGCTATTCACAGGTGCAGAGACATATGCATCGAACATGTCAGCGGGAACTGTGTGTTGCCAGAGCCAGATCAGGAAATAAGATAGAGATGTCAGTCACGCACTGCTGGCTGTGCGATCTCGTAGCGGCTGAGACCCAAGAGTTGAGGCAGCGCATCTTGCACACACAGCTGGCACCGTATCTGCAAGATCACCAGCTAGAGTTCGATGGCATGGTTATTGAATAATTCAGACGAGACCGACGAGAGAACGCAGCAGCCAGAGAAGAAGTCCAAGACAAAGGAGTCCGAGGAGGTACTGACGAGGCGGCTGGCAGTGCAAGTGGAAGCAAGAGTGCGAACACTGGCGTGCAGGCAGTTCAGTTTGCCATGCCTCACGACCGTCTGATAGTCGAGGACGGCCCAACAAACGTATCAGTTGTACCTGGCGAAAATCAAAGAGGATGGAGCTCATCATCAACGTGGACCTCCAGAACTCCAGAGGTGTTCGTCGAACCTGTCAGTCATCGCCAACTGGCTGCACGCGGACTCTTGCCCGGTGGCGATGGAGAGGGCTGCGAGGAGTACCAGAGCGCATACAGGCCATGATGGCGCACACCGACGGCACGGGAGGCAGCGAGTGGGTGAAGGAGTGCAGGTTTTCGCCGACGCACGACGCGAAGAAGGTTCGGCTCACGGTGACACTGCTCGGCCAGATCGGCGTCGGCGTGAACCAGCAGGCGGCAGAGCAGCTGGTCGAGAAGCAGGCCGAGACACGGGGAGGAGCCGCCACGGGCCCGAGCCTCGCAGCCGAGGTGCAGCTGCGTCCCTTGGAGTCGGCACCGATCGATCCGGGCCAGAAGCTGACGACGACGAGCGCGGTGCTCATCCACATGCCGAGAGAGCGGAGAGGCGATCGCAAGCCAGGTCGCTAAAACAGGGCTAGGATCGGGATAAATCGCTCCAGAGCGTTCCGGAGCGCTCTCAGAGCGTTCCGGAGCGCTCTGGAGCGGCCGCGGCGCCCAATACATCCTCCAGACCCGCCGAGTCTCAGAGATTTCGGGTTATCCCGATCCGATTTTGTCCCGATCTTCGCGTCGTTTTAGTCGCGCGCCCCGCGGCCAGATGGCTAAGCAGTTGCGGAGCAAGAGGTCGCGGGTGAGAGGCTCCACGGCAGGGCGCCGCGGCCCGCGCGGGCCGTCAGCGGGCGGGGGCCTCGGGGTGGGGTTGCTCCTTCCTGTGGTCCGTGGGCCCCTGGTCCCAGTGGCTGAACGGGGACCGGCCCTGCGGGTTCCTCCTCTGGCGGCGCTGCGCCCCTGTGTGATCGGCTCTCCCGACGCAGCAGGGCTGGATCCGAGGTGGAAGCACCAGCTCAAAGTCGGTAGAGTTGCCCAGCGTCATCGGTGTCGCACGGGTTCATGAGGCGCGAATGGGAGGGTAAGTAAACACGTGAGGGAGAGGGAGAGGAAGAGGAGGAGGAGGGAGTATGAGGCGGAGGAGGAGGAGGAGGAGGAAGAGGGAGTAGGAGGAGGAGGAGGAGGACAAGTTAGGTGCGCTTGCGTCAACATCTGACATCCTACCCCTCCCTCCCATCCCTTACCATGGCGCTGATTTTCTCTATCCGCGGACGCGTGTCGTAGCGGACCTGTGGCTCCGCGCGCGTGTGCGTAGTGGGTGGTGGTGCGCGTGCGTGCGTGCGTGTGTGCGTGGTTGTGGTTGTTGTGGTGGTGGTGTGTATGTGTGTGTGTGCGCGTGTGTGCGCGTGTGCTGTGGTGTGACGTGGTGTGGCGTCTTGGTGGTTTGGTGGTGGGCCAGGTGCGTACGTGCGTGATGGCGGTGGTGGTGCGTACGTGCGTGATGGCGGTGGTGGTGGTGGCGGTGGTGTGTGTGTGTGTGTCTGTGTGTGTGTGCGTGTGTGTGTGTGTGTGTGTGTGTGTGCGTGTGTATGTGTGTGTGCGTGCGTGCGTGCGTGTGTGTCTGTGTGTGCGCGCGTGTGATGTGGTGTGACGCGGTGTAGCGTGGTGGTGGTGGGTGGGGTAGTGCGGTGGTGGTGGCGGTGCGCGGTGGTGGTGCGCGTGCGTGCGTGCGTGCGTTGGTGGGTGGAAGTGGCTGTGGGTGTGCGTGCGGCGGGGCGGGGCGTGGTGCGGCGCGGTGGTGGCGGGCGGATGGGCGCGCGAGAAAGAGGCCCGCGCTGGGGCGAGAACGCCATCCTGAACGACGGAGGCAAAACACCGATCCGAAAATGAGGCCCACGCTGCAGCGGGAGCACGATTCGGAACGATTCGGGAGCAGAAATGAGGCCGGCGCCTCAGCGAGAGCAGCATTTGAAAAAAAAACAAAAAAAAAAAAAAAAACGCAGGCAAAACCCAACTCCCGGGAATCCTGTGTGTAAAAAACAGCACGCGGGGGGGGGTCGAATATTTTCAGGCCGCCTTCGGGGGAAGAGGGAGAGTAGTATTCATATTGAGTAATTGTGGAGGAGGAGGAGGAGAAGGAGGAGGAGGAGGAGGAGGGAGGGGGAGGAGGAGGAGGGAGGAGGGAGGAGCAGGAGGAGGAGAAGGAGGAGGGGAAGGATGAGGGAGAAGGAGGTAGAGGAGGAGCGGGGAGCGAGGAGGAGCGGGGAACTAGGAGGGAGGGAACAGAAGGGAGGAGCGAGCCGGGAGAGGAGTAGAGGGAGGAGGAGGAGGAGGAAGCGGAGGAGGAGGAGGAGGAGGAGCTTGGCTGAGAGGAGTCTCTGGAATTCTCCGGCACGGGAAAATTCGGGAGTAACATTTCCCGCTCCCTCCGTGCCCGCGCCGAGAGGAGGAGAAGAAGGAAGAGGAGGAGGAGGAGAAGGAGGAGCAGGAAGAGGAGGAGGAGGAGGAGAAGGAGGAGGAGGCTCGGAGGAGGGAGGAGGAGGAAGTGGTGGCGGAGGGGATGAGCAGAAAGGAGGAGGAGGAGGAGGAGGAGAAGGAGGAAGAGGAGAGGAGGGGGAGGCGGGGGGGTTCGGCGTCGAGGCTCGAGGGTCTAATACTCTAACCTTCGATTTCGGCCTCTGGGGGGGGGGAGAACAATGTCGGGACCCTGGACCGTCGAAGAACTATCCTGCTCGAAATATACCGTTCGGGATGGACCCTGCGAGGGCTTTACGGACCAGATTTGAGCTAACTCTGAGAATCAAGAGGCGAGGGGCGAGCGGAGAGGAGAATGGAGTCGAGAGAAGGAAGGGGGAGGACGACGACGAGCAAGTGGCGAGGAGGAGCAAGAGCAGGGAGGAGAAGGAGCAAGAGGAGGCCAGAGAGGCACGAGGGGCGCGACTGAGCAAGAGGAGGAACAAGAGGAAGAGGAAGGAGGAGGAGGAGGAGGAGGAGGAGGAGGAGGAGGGAGGGAGGAGGAGGGAGGAAGAGGAGGAGGGAGGAAGAGGAGGAGGAGGAGGGAGGAGAATGGGAGGAGCCAGAAGTGGAGAAGGAACGACGACGACAACGCAACCTCTGCCCCATCATCGTCGTCCAGAGCTCGCAGAGCGAGCGCCTTTCGAAAAAACGCCTTTGCGTTCCGCGGGTCAAGCGACAGCACGCTGTCGCAGAGCCTGACGCAGGCGTCGTGCTCGTCCATCTTTAACCTGACACCCCCTCCTCCTCCTCCTCCCTCCTCCTCCTCCTCCTCCTCCTCCTCCTCATCATCATCATCATCATCAGCATCCGCCTCCCCTCCTCTGCCTCCTCGTCCTCCTCATCATCCTTCATGGTTACCAGCATCATCAACAGCATCAGCAGCAGCAGCATAAGCACTGTGAGCATCTGCATCATCAGCAGTAGCAGCAGAAACGTCAGCATTACCATAATCATCACCATCACAATCATCATCAACAGCATCCGCATCATCATCACCATCATCATCATCATCATCAGCAGCAGCAGCAGCAGCAGCCGCATCATCAGCATCATGATCAATCATCATCAGCATCAGCATCATCATCATCATCTTCATCATACTCATCACCATCATCGTCGTCATCAGCATCCCCATTGGCAGCACCATCCTCAGCACCATTAACATTACCAGCAGCATCATCATCACCATCATCATCAACATCAACATCATCATAATCATCATCAGCAGCAGCATCATCATCGGCATCAACAGCATCATCATCAGCATCACTAGCATCATTGTCATCATTAGCATCATCAACAGCATCAGCAGCATCATCATCAGCATCATCATCGTCTTCGTCAGAATCCTCATTATCAGCATCAGCATCAACATCGTGAGCATCATCATCATACTCATCAGCATCAGCATCAGCATCAGCATCAGCATCAGCATCAGCAGCATCATCATCAGCATCATCATCATCAGTATCAGCATCGTGAGCATCAGTATCAGTATCGTCATCATCGTCATCCTCATAAGCATCCTCATCCTCATCCTTGTCCTCCTCGTCATCATCAGCAGCATCATCATCATCAGCAGCATCAGCATCGGCATCATCATCATCCTCATCATCCTCATCCTCATCCTCATCCTTCGCCTCCTTCGCCTCGTCCTCATCCTCATCCGCATCCTCATCCTCATCCTCCGCCTCCTCCGCCTCGTCCTCATCTCCCCTCCAGGAGTGTGGTCCGGCCAAAGCTTCAGAGGAAGACTAGCCGTGTGTGTGAGGGGGGGTGCAGGAGGTCCATACAGGGCCAACAGCGTCCACACGCTTCGACTCTCGAAGGTAGCTCCTAGGTACCGCCATATTCTCCTCCATCCTCCTCACCGTCCCCTTCCGCCTGCGTCCCCCTCCCCATCCTCCGTCTCCAACTCCTCACCCTCCTCGATATCATCCTCCTCTTCGGCATCATCCTCCTCCGCCTCCTCCTCTCCCACCTCCTCCTCGTCCTCCACCTCCTCCTCCTCCTCCTCCTCCTCCTCCTCCTCCTCCTCCTCCCTCCTCCGCCTCCGCCTTCGCCTCCTCCTCCTCCTCCTCCTCCTCCTCCTCCTCCTCCTCCTCCTTCTCCTCCTCGAGCATCGATCCTCGGTCCCCGATCCTCCCCCGCAACCTGCACATCGCGGCGTTTGACATCACGGCCACGGAGCAGGCCCGAGCCAGGGCGGCCCGGTCGTCGCCCCCAGCGTCGGGCGCGGGCGGCGCTCCAGCTGGCAGGAAGGACCTCGCCTGGGCATGGGCGGGAGGCGGAGAGAGGAAGACGAGGAAGGAGGGCCAGGAGAGGAGAAGGAGGAGGAGGAGGAGGAGGAGGAGAAGGAGGAGGAGGAGGAGGAAGAGGGAGGAGTTGGAGGAAGAGGAGGAGGAGGAGGAGCGGGAACAGGAAAGGAGGAGGAGCAAGGATAAGGAGGAGGAGGAGGAGGGAGGGCCAGGAGAGGAGGAGGAGGAGCAGGAGGAGGAGGAAGGAGGAAAAGGAGGAGGAAGAGGAGGAGGAGGAGGAGGAGGAGGAGGAGGAGGAGGAGGGAGGAGGAGGAGGAGGAGGAGGAGGAGGAGGAGGAGGAGGGAAGAGGAGGGAGAAGGAGGGAGGATAGGGAAGAGGAGGAGGAGGAGGAGGAAAGCCAGGAGAGGAGAAGGAGGTGGAGGAGGAGGGCCCCTGGACTTTATAATTATAAGCTGGCCTCGCACGCCCCCGGGAAGGGGCACGAGGTGCAGGCGGAGAACACACAAGCAACCACCAGCGACGACGGCGACGACGGCGGACGAAGGCGGCGACGGCGACTACGACCCGACGCGAGGGATGGGGGCCTGAGGGCGCATGCAGCTGGGGCCGATGATGGCACGCGTCTCTGCCGAGGGTGGCTCGTGATCAGGCATGGAAGGGGACACGGCACGCGCCATACACGCCACAGGCGCACCCTTGACTCTACAGGGGCCGACATCTGCCTGCCAGGCACGGCTGTGCACCGACCTCGGCCGAGCCAGGCCTGGACCCTGGATCGTTGTGTGCGCCATCCTGGCCTGGCCTGAAGACGGAAGGAAGAGGAAGGGAGGAGAAGGAGGAAGACGGAGAAGGGCGCAGGGAAAAAGGGGCAGGGAGGAGGAGGACGGGAGGAGGAAGATGGAGGAAGGAGAGAGTCGGAGGAGGAAGGAAGGATGAGGGCAACGAAGTGAAGGCCGAGGAGGAGGAGGAGGAGCATGAGGAGGAGGAGGAGAAGCGAGTAGGAAGTAGGAGGGGAGGAAGACGGGGCGGAGAAGGAGAACAAGGGCGAGGAGGAGGACCAAACCTTGACGTAAAGGCCTTTTCCTCTAGATTTCTCTCAAAACTCTCCTGCGGTGCCTTCTGACCAAGATCTCGACGGAATCCAGCCGTGGCGGCGGGAAACCTCCAGAAGGTAAAAATCACGAGCGGTGAATCCGCCGACCCTTCGGCGTGTAGAGGAGGCTGTCGTCGTCGTCGTCGTCGTGCCGTCAGTCCCAAGGACAATAAGGAACAATAACAAGAGACGCCGTAGTAAAATCGAAGGGAAGCCCCTTCCCTTCCCTGCCGGGGGGGGGGGGGGAGGTGGGGGGGGTCCAAGGTCAGAATGCCGCCCCCCCCAGGGTCCCGGTGAGTCCCGGGGAGAATCGCCAGCGGGGGTCCCTGGGAAGGTCCCGCCTTCAGGGTGGGCGACATGGGCCGTTCGCAAAATATCCATATCTCGGAGGCGCGCAAGCATGGATCGGGGGAGGCACCCTCCCCAAAATGCGGCCAGTGCCACCCCGTTCGGCGGTGCGCATCCGCGACTTCCCCTGGAAGCGGGACCCGTCGCTGATCCACGCCCCCTTGATCCATGTTTGCGATCGCCTGAATACAGTCGGGGCATTGACCTAAGGAACCCTAAATAAGGAACGAGGCCCCTTTCTTCCACAAGTTAAACTTCGATTCCCCATTGAAAACCTAAGGACAACCTAAGGCAAACTGCGAAACACTGAAGGAACACGGAGCCCCTCCCCAACGACAAGGGTTCCTTCTTCAGGGCCCCGACTGTATTTATGCCATCGCAGTCAGACTCCGCGGCGCGATCTGGTGGATACCCAGCCCTGCTTGTGCATACGTGCGCTGAGCGCGGGGCATGCGGCCGAGCAGCTCAGACAGCGAGGGTGTGGACATGGATCATTACGCTTCTCGGGGGGAACGAAAGGGGGAACGAAAGGAGGGGGGGACGAAAGGGGGGGAGGAACGATAGGAGGGGAGAACGAAAGGAGGGGGGAACGAAAGGAGTGGATAATTACGTTTCTCGGGGGGAACGCAAGGGGGGGGGTAGCAAAGGGTAGGCTAGAGAATCAGCTCACGTGGCTGCTTTTCCCAGCGCCTCCCGGCGCCAGGAGGCGCCCATACATCGAGGAATGGGCCCGGCGGCGGGGCCGAAACCAAATGCATGCAGCAGATTTCGTACCTCCCCCTTTCCCTATCGCCCCCTTTCGTTCGGCCCGAGTTTCTGCCGCTCGATTCCTGACGGCCCTAGGGACCGAATCGGGCTTTCGAGTTGTAAACGTTCCGGCCGCGCTGTGGCGAAATCAGGCCCTCCAGAACTCCCCCTCATCTCATAAACGACCCTCTTGTGGGATGCGTTGCTACGCAGATTTCGACAATTCAGCCGTGGTGGCGATGAAGGCAACTATGCAAGAACCCTATCCTCGTTGTGGCGCCTCTTGACGCCGGGGGCGATCGTGTGTCAAAGAACGCGCTTGGCTGCGGGGTCGAAACCAGTTGCACGCACCAGATTCCAGAACCCCTCCCCTTCACAATCCCCCCTTTCGTCGGCCCCGATCGATCCTCGTCACCTGGCTTCTGAGGTCACACTTCGGGCCTCTGGCGGCCCTTCGGGCAGGCCCGGGCACGCCCAGAGCGCCCTCGGCGAGGCGCAGACGCCGGAAAGCATCCCGACTGGAAAACCGCCGAAACCCGCCGAAAGCGTCCCCAGACCCCCGACGTCATGATTTTTTCATTACGTCCACGCCCAGAAGTCTGGACCCCTTGCCCAGGACCGGTTTTTCATCGTGAGTCGTTTTGTTGACGGTCCCGAGGCCCGGTAGGGGCCCCCAGAGGCCTGAAGTAGCAAAAAACCTCTGGTCGTGTTTTTCCCCACATCCTAAGTGGGATTATTGTTTTTCTCTGGACACCCCGCGCAGTCCTCCCTCACCCCCTCTCTCCCTCGTCATCTCTCACCCTCACTCACTCCTTCACTCATCATCATCATCATCATCATCATCATCATCATCATCATCATCATCATCATCATCATCATCATCATCATCATCATCATCATCATCATCATCATATCTTCATCTCATCATCATCATCATCATCATCATTTTCATCATCATATCATCATCCATCTCAGCAGCAGCTGCTTCTTCATAATCATCATCAGGGTTCATCATCATCATCAGCATATCATCATCATCAGCATCATTTCATCAGCTATCATCATCAGCATCAGCATCAGCATCATCATCAGCATCATCATCATCATAATCATCATCATCATCATCATCCTGATCATCATCATCATCACCATCATCCTCATCCTCATCCTCATCCTCATCCTCATCCTCATCCTCATCCTCATCCTCATCATCATCATCATCACCATCACCATCATCAATCACACACTCACTTACATTCACACTCACTCAATCACACACTCACACACTCACTTCTGATCGTCACCAGAATCTTCATCACTCACTCACTCATTCACTCACTCACCATCATCATTCACTCACTCATCATTTCGTCATCACTCGCCCCCTGGCATGACAATGGAGGATGTCTCCGGCGGGAGCCTCGCCTGTGAGTGAATTGCGAGGAAGTCTCAGGCGGGAGCCTCCTCCTTATGGAGTCCGCACTTCAAGTTCGAATCCGAGGCGGGTCATCGGAATCCTGTACCTGTCGTCACTTTTGGGCTCCCCAGGCCTGAATATGGAGGAAGTATCAGGCGGGAGCCTCGTCTATGAGTGAATTGTGAGGAAGTCTCAGGCGGGAGCTCCCTCCCTAAGGGGACCGCACTTCATGCTTAAATCCGATGCGGCTCATCGGCATCCTGTAACTGTCGTCATGTTTGGGCTCCTCAAGCCTGAATATGGAGGAAGTATCAGGCGGGAGCCTCGTCTGTGAAAGAATGGTGGGCAAGTCTCAGGCGGAAGCCCCCTCCCTAAGGGGACAGCACTTCTTGTTCGAATCCTAGGCGGGCCATCGGCATCCTGTAGCTGTCGTCAGTTTTGGGCTCCTCAGACCTGAATATGGAGGAAGTATCAGGCGAGAGCCTCGTCGGTGAGTGAGTTGTGAGGAAGTCTCAGGCGGGAGCTCCCTCCCTGAGGGGACCGCACTTCATGTTCGAATCCGAGGCGGGCCATCGGCATCGTATAGCTGTCGTCACTGTTGAGCTCCTCAGGCCTGAATATGGAGGAAGTATCAGGCGAGAGCCTCGTCGGTGAGTGAATTGCGTGGAAATCTCAGGCGGGAGCCCCCTCCTTGAGGGGACCGCACTTCATGTTCGAATCCAAGGCGGGTCATCGGCATCCTGTAGCTGTCGTCACTTTTGGCCTCCTCAGGCCTGAAGATCGAGGAAGTAGTAGGCGGGAGCCTCGTCTGCAGGTGAATTTTGAAGAAGTCTCACGCGGAAGCTCCCTCCCTCAGGGGACCGCACTTCATGTTTGAATCCGAGGCCGGTCATCGGCATCCTGTAACTGTCGTCACTTTTGGGCTCCTGAGGCCTGAATATGGAGGAAGTATCAGACGGGAGCCTCGTCTGTGTTTGAATTGTGAGGAAGTCTCAGGCGGGAGCTCCCTCCCTAAGGGGACCGACCGCACTTCATGTTCGAATCCGAGGCGGGCCATCGGCATCCTGTGACTGTCGTCACTTTTGGCCTCCTCAGGCCTGAATATGGAAGAAGTATCAGGCGGGAGCCTCGTCTGTAAGTGAATTGCAAGAAGTCTCAGGCGGGAGCCCCCTCCCTAAGGGGCCCGCACTTCATTTTTAAATCCGATGCGGCTCATCGGCATGCTGTAACTGTCATCACTTTTGGGCTCCTCAAGCCTGAACATGGAGGAAGTATCAGGCGGGAGCCTCGTCTGTGAGTGAATGGTGAGCAAGTCTCAGGCGGAAGCCCCCTCCCTAAGGGGACCGCACTTCCTGTTCGAATCCGAGGCGGGTCATCGGCATCCTGTAGCTGTCGTCATTTTTGGGCTCCTCAGGCCTGAATAGAAGGAGGAGGAGAATAAATAGAAGGAGGAGGAGAAACAGAAGGAGGAGGAGGAGGAGGAGGAGGACGAGAGGGCAGAGCAGAGGGCGAGAGGAGGGTCTCTGCCAGGGCAAGGAGGAAAGGGTTAATGGCAAGCTGAAGAGATTCTCATGTGGGATCCTTCCGTCGGAATAATTTCATTACTCCAGGGGGTGTGGGCCGCAAAACCTCTCGTCCGACCAGATCCTCGGCCGGGCCCCAGGGCTCCCCCATCCGCCCCAAGCGGCGCACCCGGCACGATCACGATCCCTCCCGCGCGTGCGCAAGCGCCCCCGGCCGCTCTGCGCCTCGACGTGCGACCCTCGTGCCCTCGTGCCCTCCTCCCCTCCCCCGATCCCTCCCCTCCTCCCTCCTCCCTCCTCCCCTCCTCCTCCTCCTCCTCCTCTCCTCCTCCTCCTCCTCCTCCTCCTCCTCCTCCTCTCTCTCCTCCTCCTCTCCTCCTCTCCTCTCTCCTCCTCCATCCTCCTCTCCTCCTCCTCATCCTCCTCCTCCTCCTCCTCCGCCTCCTCCTCCTCCTCCTCCTCCTCTCCTCTCCTCGCCTCCCCCGATTCCCTCCCTCTCACGATCCCTCCCTCTTCCCCTCCTCCCCTCCCCTCCCCTCCTCCCCTCCCCTCCCGGCCGAACTTTCGAATCTCGAACGCCCGACCCGAACGTCCCCCCCCCGGCCTCGGACGAGAGCACGGTCATGGAACGATTTCAGGACGCACGTTCCAGAAAGAATGCTGGAGCATCGAGCGGCCCTCGTTTCTGGAGCCCGGGAGGAGGAATCATAAATCCCAGAGATCGGAAAAAACCTATAAACTGCTTGCACGTGTCAGCATCGCGACCTTCGCCCGCCCCGATCGGTCCTCGATACTCCTATGCCTCGCCTCTCCCCCTCCTCGACCTTACTCCTCAACCTCCTCCTCCTGCTCCTTCTCCTCCTCCTCCTCTTCTCCTGCTCCTTCTCCTCATCTCCTCGATCCTGCTCCTCGATCTTCCTACCCTTCATTTGCTTTTTCGGATCCTCCACCCGCGCCTTCTCGTAGACTCTCACCGCCTCCTTGTGCCGGCCCTCGCGGAACCGCTGGTTACCCAGCTCGCGCAGGGACTCGGCAACAACGAGAGGATCCGCCCCCTCCGCGAGGCCCGACGGGTCGTCCGGCCAGGCGTCCTCGTGGCGACTCAGGGAGGGGGAGAGGGAGGGAGTGAGGGGGAGGAGGGAGGAAACGGAAAAACAAAAGAAGAAGGAGGACGAGGAGGAGGAGGAGGAGGAGGAGGACGAGGAGGAGAAGGAGGAGGAGGAGGAGGAAGAGGAGGAGGAGGAGGGAAGGGAGGGTGTGACTGGTAGCAAGGGAGGATGCGAGGCGGGAGGAGGAAAGGAGGGAGGGAGGAAGGTGAGATGGAGGAGGAGGAGGAGGAAGTGGATGGAGGGGAGGAGGAGGGAAGGGGGTGGAGGAGGAGCTGGAGGTGGAGGAGGAGGAGGAGAGGAGGTGGAGGAGGAGGAGGAGGTTGTGGTAGGAGGAGGAGGAGGAATGGCGAGAGGATATGAGGGGGGAAGGTGGAGGAGGTGGAGGAGGTGGAGGGGGAGAAGGGAGGAGGAGGGAGGAGGGAGGAGGAGGAGGAGGAGGAGGAGGAGAGGGAGGATAGGGAGGAGAGGGTAGTGCAGCAGCCACGGCGGCAGCAGCAGCAGAAGGGAGGAGAAAGGGGGGGAGAAGGAGGAGGAGAAGGAGAAGGAGGAGGAGGAGGAGGAGGAGGAGGAGGACGAGGAGGAGGAGGAGGAGGAGGGAGACTGGACGGAGGAAAGGCAGGAGGGACCAGGAAGGGGAGGAGAAGGAGGAGGAGAAGGAGGGAGAAGAGTTGAGTAGGAGGAGGAGGAGGAGGAGGAGGAGGAGGAGGAGGAGGAGGCGGGAAGAGGGAGAGAAACGGCAGAGAAA